GGTGGGGGTGGTCCGGGGTCGGTGCGGGCAGCGGTCGCGCTGCAGCCGGCGCGCCTCAATGTGTTTTTGCCACAAGGTAAACGCGGACACAGCGGTACAGGGATTAATTATCAATTCATCACGGCGGCCCGCCGGCCCTGTTGACTCCAATCACACTCCGCGCCCCGGCGCATCAATTTCTGTCGGATCAGCGAGGTTTCATCACCGAGGCTTTTCACGCGCCCGGTCGCCCGGCCCGCCCGCAGCAGCGCAGCGCCCCGCGCGCCGCCAAGCCAAGCAGTCCGATCTGTATAATTGCTCCGGCCAGTGCACGGCTTTAGCCATCGGCTGATTGGCGCGTCTGTCCGGCCTGCCCTGAAAGTAGTTTCCACAGTCCCAGTGTCACGCGCGGCCGGCCGGTATGGTAAGCGGGCTGGAAAGGCGAAAGGGACGTGAAAGCGGGAGGCAATGGGGGTAGGAGAAAAAAAAATCCGAAGGGGCGTGTCACTGCATAAAGCCATAAGTGGCGACACACGACCACGGACCGCACGAACTGATTAAAACTCACTCACTGGATATGCATGCACAGCAGAGCCCTGTCAAGCGGCAAGTGTGGAGTTCTGACCAAACACTGGGGGGATGCCCGGCAGAAAAACGTGTCTTGTTCGAAGAAATTGTGCTGGCTGGGAAGTTTTCTTTTCTCAATACGCTTTTGGGACATTTCCTCTATACCTTAACCCTGCAGTGTCCTGGATTTGAGGGAGGGCCTCACTCCTGCCTCTCCCTCCCCCGGCTGCCCAGTCATGCCTCGTCACATGAGGCATTAAGGAAGCGGGCGGCCAGGAACTGGGTCATTGTGCAGGAGGCCTGCAGGCGGTGCAATGGGCCTGGCGGGACGGCCTCTGGGGGCTGCCGCCCGGCTGGGTGGGGGTGGAGAGCGGGGGCTCGTTGCACTGATGACATTTGTGAAGGGAGAGGGGACGGAGAGAGAGAAGAAAGACAGAGTGAGATATGCAAAGATACACCGATCAAAATGTGAGAGGCGCCCATCGTTGAAGTCTGACGTGTGCTTCAGGAGCGATCCTTATCAATTAAGGATTAAAAATAGATCGCAAACATCGTACGGACTATTTTTGTATCTTACAAGTAAATAATTGATTCCTCACATTCTTAGTTTATTACAAACAGCATTGTTTGTATCACAAAGAATTGAAATTGTGACTACAAAGGATTTGTAAGTACAAATGCTTCAAATCCTGAGCACGTTACGAGCAGTTCAACTTTCAGTGCAGAGTTACCCAAGTTATAACGCGAAAGTAGCTGTTGACAAAGTGTTAAGTGGGCCTTAAAAAGCGTGTTTTCAGGATTTGTTTCAACCCAGCTTCAGGAGTACACCGGGAAAGACACTCACTAGGTCGAGGGGGAAATAACTCCCTTTTGATGTGTGCACATGATTCCCGAAATACTTGATTCCCAGTGATTCCCGTCCAATTTGTATTAGTTTCATTAGTTTCCCACTTAGTTTAAACGATTTCTGTTGATTTCGATTAATTTTTATGATGATGACCAGGCAGATGTACACATGATTCCCGGAGTTATTGCCCCCTCGCACTAGGTAAAATTTATACTGGAAAATTTCCATCTAGAGGATTTTAAAAATGTAATTAGGAAAAGATCCAGATGTTTTTTTTACATCGCTGGATTTCGTTCCAGACTGGTGCGGTCCAAATTCGGGTACGGGACCTAAGCCCAACTTATGCTCAACTTTTATTAGAGCACTCCAAGTAGAGTCCATGCAGGTTATTTCACTCTGGAAACTCAGGTGTGAGACAAATGGTGTGATACTGCACCGGGAAAATTGTTCCTTGCTGCCCAAGGACCATCGGATAGATTCAAGGACGCCCCATGCAAATTTTCCTATCTCGTCCTTGAATCCTGCCGATTGTCCTTGGATATCAAGGAACAGTTTTCACCGTGTGTATACCTCACAGCTGAGTTTCTAGAGCAGCGCCGTGCTGCTTCTTGTGGGACGGTCTCCGCGGCGGGCGGTGGCACTCGGGTAGGTGCGGGGGCGCCTAAAGCCACGCGCGACCTGTGGAACTCATCCATCCCGAATCCGAGCCGCGGGCCGGGCCGGGCCGGGCTGCGCTCGCCATGTGCGGGCGGCAACACGTGTTAACACGCCACCAGAGGAAAGAGCAACAGAATGAATGCTGCGCCCGCGGCTGCGCCCGCCCACACCCGCCCCAGCGTGCCACTGCTAACCGGCTCAACAAAGTTTGAAACATGCATCCCCCCGCGGGCCGGGCTGCGCCGGGCTGGGCAGGGGGAGGTGGCAGGGCAGGGCCCGGGTGGTGGGTGGGAAGGGACCACCAAATGAGAGAAAGAAAGAAAGCACCGTGCCGGACAAGGGACCTGTTGAGTTGTGGGGTGGCTGGTGGTGGCGGGTGAGGGGCGGGGCGCGCGCAGGGCGGCCCAGGGTGTGAGGGGACCGTTTTTGGGGTGACGGCTGGCATGGCATGCCCGGCGAGGACGCGGTATAAACAAGGTTCCCCGCCTAAAGCGCCTTAAAATATGAGATCTTGTTGTTTTCAGAGGCTGAGTTTTAGTTGAGATAAATAATTCCCAACGCATAGTCCATCTGCGTGGACGGAGATACCATTTCAGCCTCAGAGTGGGCGCTCACTACAAAAAGGTTTACAGGAAAATTTACCTTGACGCAAGTTGTAAAATTACAAACTTGTAATCGTAAAAATACATGCAGTACGTATCGACTTCCGATGCATTGGCGATTGGAAAGGTTGCGCCCGTAAATTTACAACTTAAATTATAATTCATGTTTCTAAAAATATTTTAAATTTACGACGAAAATTCTCACAATGTGTGTTTTAATATTAATTGCCACCCGATCACATGCAGGGCTCGTTTGTAAGACGACAATGAACACGGTATCCTCAAAAACTAAATTTACGTTTACGCTCAAAGAATTGCAAGTTCACAGTCGGGTTTGCAGAGTACCGCCGACGCAGAAGGGAAGATGAGCGAGCGGCTGGTCCGGGGGCTGCGCGGGCTGCGCTGCTCCACTCGGCCCCTGCGGTCCGACGCGCCTCGCGCCCGCCGCGCGGCCGTGCTCCACGGGCCGGCCTACCCGCGCGGCGTCCTGAGCCCGACCCGCTCGCCCGTCCCGGTGCGGCGACACGCTCGGTGTCGGGGTGTACGTGCGCTGGCGCTGGTGGTCGCGGCGGGGCACTCGGTGTGAATGCCGAGAGGCAGGCCGCTTCAAGGAATGGCTGCTTCAAGGAACGACCTCTGGCGTCCAGTTTCTGCGCATTCTCCGGAACGACAGTATACAGGCAGCAGTCATTCAGTGGGAGGACACGGATCGACAGACGTACTCGTCACCGTTCGTCACATCGCCGTCTCTTCCAGGGAGCCGGCCGCGTGGAGGTGTGTGCTTCCACTTTCAAGTTTTCAAACCTCCCCGGCTCCGCTCTAGGGCGCCAGTCGCCATCGCAGACCAGGACTGAGCGGACACGACGGCCGAAATGTGGAATAATGTTATTCGGGGAGAATGGACCTCTGCGGACCCCCGCCCCGCTCTTCCTGCCTTTGGCCGCTGTCTGCTTTTATACAAATGTCGGCCAATGTCGCGTGCGTCCCCGCATCCCCAAGACTTGTCCAATTCCCCGTTATATTTCCTTGCGGCCCCGCCCGCGGGGGTAGGGGGTGCCGGGGGAAGGGCGGAGGGGGCGATGCTGCGCGGAGAGACCGACCCCTAAGGGACTCGCGGTGCGCTGTTATTGTAGCGTTATTCGTTTCTCGCAAATTGGGCTGACAAAAGCAAATGCGACGGCGCGGTGGTCGGGGGAGGACTGACCTGGCCTCGGGGCGCGCGGCGCGGCGGGGCACGGCTGAGCCGGACGGGCCGTCCCGCCTTTCCTTATTCCCTTACATGCGAGCCGCGCGCACTGCCGCCTGCCGGGAACAGCAGGGGCACGGATGACGGACGGGGAGCGGAGGAATGTTTAAATACACATCCTCACTCGAAATGGAGAGGGACGGTTTTAGGTTGGACGCGTGTCCTCGTGCGCCTCTAAATGAAATAATATTCATTGTAATGTGTCGAAACTCCTCCCATTCTGAAAAGCTAATTTGTCATTCTTTGATTCATTTTTCATCTGATCTCTCCGAGGTGTTGGAAGCGTAGTTTTGAGGATCACGAGTCATTATAGTTTAGTAATTGAAATTTCTGCAATATATCCTGTCATAGCATGTGATTTAAATTCTTCTTCCATT